AATTATGTTCAAAATCTTAGTTTAATTTCTCCTGTGCTTGAAATCCTTCCCAACTTGCTATTGTCAACATGTTTTTTCATTTTCATTTTTATTATTATTATTATTTTTTAATTTTAATTTTTATATTTTAAAAATACTTAAAAAAATAAAAAGTTAAATATTAGATAACAACATCGTGAATTTCAAGGTATAAAGATGTGTTTTAATTGATTTGGTATGGATATTATGATAAATTTGGTTTTTAAAGTGTTTTTTATTTTACAATATATCAAAGTAATATTTTGTTGTTTTACTTTTAAGATTTATTTTAGACTTCAAGTATTAAAATGATAAAGCAATTTTAAAAAATAAATCTAAATTTTTAACAAAAACAGTGGCAACTGCGTTGCCAAACAAGTTGATATAAAATGTGCTGTTTTGCACATGCCCATCAGGCTCATACATGTGGTGTATCTCTAGTACATGTGCCCTTCTCCGTTGCCCATTAGGAAGGCTCTCTTATTGTCGGGAGACTCTGGGATCTTAAAGTAGAGGATTGCAATCGATCCGAGACCCTTTTTTTCCCCTAGCTTTTCAACGTGATTCTCTTGAAGGCAGCCAGCAATTTTTTAAGCGATGCCCCAATAGGGGTTTTGAATTTTTGATGCTCCTACGATACAGTTGCTAATGTAGGTCCAAGTCCAACCCCTATAATGGGTTCTTTTATTTGGTCTTGCTGTTAGATTTTCAATGTTAATATATATATAAGAAAAAAAATCATATTCTGCAAAAGAAAGTGTTATAAGAAAAAAATCATATTCTGCAAAAGAAAGTGTTTTTTCTTTCTTTAGAAAAACCAAAGTGTTGTTGAAATGTTATTAATGTTAAATGTCGATAAATATACTACCAGTTGATAAAGCTTCAAGAAAAATCAAGTCAATTATTGATTTATTAGAAGATCATTTAAAAAAAAAAATAATTAGATTAATGATTTTTTTATTGGATCGATAGTTCCTTCTTCAGCTCCTAAAACTTTAACGCAAATAAATTTAATCTATGAGATATAATAGTCTTTGATATTTTCTTGTTTGATAAAAAAAGTGATTGAGAGTATTTTTAAAAGTTTTTTTTTTAATATTAAAATATTTAAATGATTTAAAAATATAAAAAATAATCTTTTTTAATGAAAAAACTTCCTTTTGGTAACATAAAGCTTATGATTTTGTTACAATTAAGTGCTAAAATATTATCCAATTCTTTTACCTGGATCTGATCTGATTGTGTGGACTATGGTGTACATGTAAGGAGTTGTTGACCTTCCTAACTTTTGAGAGGTTAATATTGAGTTCAATTGTATTTAGGCAACGATATACTTCAACATTTTCTCTTTTTAACAATTTAAACAATACTATAAAGGTAATTACCAATAAGGTTCTCTCTCTCTTTATTAACGGGAACAATTCGCTCTCCTTCCTCCTTTTGCAATTAAGAAGCATTGACAAGGGGAATTAGTGTTGAAGTTCGAGAGGATTAATATTTAAAAAAGTTATCAGGCTAGTAATTTAATACTCAATTACTGTTAATTAATCTATTTTCAGGCATTAATGGGTTTGATTATAGTGTTTTTTACTATTTAATTGTTCCTTCATATAAGATTCCATGTCTTTTTGTGACTGTTGATACAGTTCACTTGATCCAACACTCCTACTGCTAAAAAGG